CCACGTCAATGATTATAACACCCACGGGTATGATTATAACAACTACGACCATGATCATAACCACGACCATGATTATAAAAACCACGACTATGATTATAACAACCACGACCATGATTATAACAACCACGACTATGATTATAACAACCACGACCATGATTATAACAAACACGACTATGATTATAACAACCACGACCATGATTATAACAACCACGACCATGATTATTACAGCCACGACCATGATTATAACAAACACGACTATGATTATAACAACCACGACCATGATTATAACAAACACGACCATGATTATAACAACCACGACTATGATTATAACAACCACCACCATGATTATAACAACCACGACTATGATTATAACAACCACGACCATGATTATAACAAACACGACCATGATTATAACAACAACAAACATGATTATAACAACCACGACTATGATTATAACCACGACAATGATTATAACAACAACAACCATGATTATAACAACCACGACCATGATTATAATAACTATGACCATGATTATAACAACCACGACCATGATTATGCCAAGCACGATCATGATTATAACAACGACGACCATGATTATAACAACCACGACCATGATTATAACAACCACGACCATGATTATAACAACTACGACCATGATTATAACAACCACGACCATGATTATAACAACCATGGCCATGATTACAACAACCACGACTATGATTATAACAACCACGACTATGATTATAACAACCACGACGATGATTATAACACCCACGACCATGATTATAACAACTACGACCATGATCATAACCACACCATAATTATAACAACTACGACCATGATCATAATAACCATAATTATAACAACTAATGACCGCATTTAATAATCCACGACCAAGGATTATAAAACCACGACTATGATTATAACAACCACGACTATGATTATAATAACCACAAATATGATTATATCACCTACGACCATGATTATAAAAACTACGACCATGATCATAACCACGACCATGATTATAACAACCACGACTATGATTGTAACAACCACGACCATGATTATAACAACCACGACCATGATTATAACAAATTCACGATCATGATTATACTAATTCCACGACCATGACTAGAATAATCACGACTATGATCATAACCACGACAATGATTATAACACCACGACTATGATTATAACAACCACGACGATGATTATAACACGCACGACCATGATTATAACAACAACGACCATGATCATAACCACGACCATGATTATAACAACCACGACTGTGATTGTAACAACCACGACCATGATTATAACAACCACGACCAAGGATTATAAAACCACGACTATGATTATAACAACCACGACCATGATTATAACAACCACGACCATGATTAAAATAACCACGACCATGCTTATAACAACCACGACCATGATTATAACAACCACGACCATGATTATATAAACACCACGACCATGATTATAACAACCACGACCAAGGATTATAACAACCACGACCATGATTATAATGTCAACCATGGCCATGATTAGAACAAATCCACGACTACAGGATTATAATAACCACGACGATGATTATAACACCCACGTAATTACGATTATAAATAACTATTTACTCATGATCATAACCACGACCATAATTATAACAACCACGACTATGATTGTAACAATCACGACCATGATTATAACAACCACGACCATAATTATAACAACCACGACTGTGATTATAACAACCACGACTATGATTATAACAACCACGACCATGATTATAACAACCCCCACCATGATTATAACAACCTTGACTATGATAATAACACCCACGACCATGATTAAAATAACTATCACCATGATCATAACCACGACAATGATTATAACAACCACGACTATGATTGTAACAACCAATACCATTCTTATAACAACCACGACTATGATTGTAACAACCACGACCATGATTAAAACAACCACGACTATGATTATAACAACCACGACTATGATTATAACAACCACGACCATGATTATAACAATCACGACCATGATTATAACAACCACGACTATGATTATAACAACCACGACTATGATTATAACAACCACGACCATGATTATAACAACCACGATCATGATTATAACAACCATGACTATGATTATAACAACCACGACCATGATTATAACAACCACAACTATGATTATAACAACTACGACCATGATCATAACCACGACCATGAATATAACAACCTCGACTATGATTGTAACAATCACGACCATGATTATAACAACCACGACCATGATTATAACAACCACGACTATGATTATAACAACCACGACCATGATTATAACAACCACGACCATGATTATAACAACCACGACCATGATTATAACAACCACGACCATGATTATAACAACCACGACTATGATTATAACAACCACAACCATGATTATAACAACCACGACCATGATTATAACAACCACAAACATGATTATAACAACAACGACTATGATTATAACAACTACGGCCATGATTAAAACAACCACGACTATGATTATAACACCCCCCATGATTATAACAACCACGACCTTGATTATTACAACCACGACCATGATTATAACAACCACGACCATGATTATAAGAACCACGACCATGATTATAACAACCACGACCATGATTATAACAACCACAACCATGATTATAACAACCACGACCATGATTATAACCACAACCATGATTATAACAACCACGACCATGATTATCTCATATACTATAGGAATAGCTGTGTGTGTGTGTTTGTTGTAGGCAGCCGAAACGGCACAATTGTTTTTCATCAAATTTGGTGGAAAAATCGCAAAAAATTCGTAGAGTCCCATATCGAAGGTTTCTTTAGGATGGCATTAATTAACCATTTTATTTACGCTGGAAAACGATGTTGCTGTACGCTGCCAGCCTTCCCACGGTTGCGCGCAAGCCAAGCACGAGCGTTCGAACTTTCACGCTTTGGTAAACTGTACCACCGGACTCGCCACCGGGCACGAAGTGCCCACGATCACTTGTCTTATTTCTATTAAATCAAACTGGGCACGACCACCTCCTCCACCCCCTCTAAGGTCAATTATGGCACTATCGAAGGGCAAGCTGGCAATCCTTACGAGAATTCTTCACCGACTTTCCTTGGGATGAATGTTGCTTTTCCACTCGGGACGCCTCGGTATGTGATGACAGCATTGCTGGGGTTATAGAGGGCGGTATGAGTGCATTTATCCCATCTTCCACCAAAACTTTTATTTTACAATCATGGTTTGATGGCTCCTGCTCTCTTGCATGCAGGGTGAGAGATAGGGCATATCAAGCTATGAAACTATCTTCTCCTATTACCCACACCTCTTTCATTACTTCAAGGAATCGTTGTAAGGCTATTCTTCGTAGGGCCAAACGGAATTTTATAAAAAGAATGACCACTGTCCTGAATAATTCTTCCTCTAGTAAATCCTTCTGGTCCTTAACCAAAAACATCTATAATAACTTCTGCACTCCTTCTTTTCCTCCTGTCTTCCGACCTGATAACTCTATAGCCAACTCTCCCCCTCACAAAGCCAACCTCTTTGGCACCATATTCTCCTCTAATTCCACCTTAGACGATTCCAACTCAATCCCTCCTACCCCTGCTCCTCCTACTGAACCTATGCACTTTCCTATAATCTCCACTCGCAGGGTTGCCGGTGTCCAGGTTGGATGTGAGTAAGGCGCAAGGATCGGACGGAATACCCCCGTGTGCTCTGAAGGAGTGTGCTGAAGCTCTGTCCCCTGTGCTTTCTCGCCTTTGCCTCAAAACCCAAAATTTTCCTTCTTCTTGGAAGCATGCCTCGGTTCAGCTCACCCCGAAGAAGGGTGACCATTCTAATTCCTCTAACTATCGTCACCATTTCCCTAATTTCATTCCTTTCTAAGATTTTCGAAACTATCTTAGACTCTCATTTTCTCCGTCACCTTGAACGCCTTTCTCTTTTGTCGGATCACCAGTATGGTCTTTCGCCAGGCGAGATCTACTGGGGATCTGCACCCATCTTTGGTCATCCTCGCTTACGGATTATGGGGAAACTTTCGTTGTGGCCTTCGACATTTCCAAAGCATTTGACAGGGTATGGCACAAGTCTTTGTTTTCTAAACTTTCCTCTTATGGTTTTTCTTCCCCACTTTGTTTTCTAATCTCTAACTTCCTTAAGAACCGATCCATGGCAGTTGTTGTCGAGGGATCGATCTCTCGCTCTTTCTCTACCAATAGTGGTGTCCCACAGGGTTCTGTTATTTCACCTACACTCTTCTTTCTTTTTATCAATGATTTACTTCACACTACAACTAATTCTATCCATTCTTATGTTGATGATTCTACTCTTCACTCTTCTTCACATCTTCCCCTTCCTCCTAACTTTCAAACTAGATCTGTTTCTAGAGCTGATATCATTACCTCTATCAATGCAGATCTGTGCAGCATCTCCGAATAGGGAGGTAGAAACTTGGTTAAATTCATTAGTGATAAAAATCAGGTTTTACCAATTACACTTTCCATATTAGATGATCTCACACCAATTACATTTCAAGATGCTATCATTCTGCCAAATTCTAAAATGGATATGCTAGGCCTCACCATTTCCTCTAATATGTCATGGAAGCCACACATCCTCAACATTACTAAAGCTGCCTCCCGAAAGTTGGGAATGCTGTACAGATGCTGTAGCTACTTCACTCTTGAGCAGTTGATTCAAGTATATAAGGGATTCATTCGTCCTAACTTGGAGTACTGCTTTCATATCTAGGGTGGCTCTTCTTCTGTCCAACTGTCATGTAACAATATACTCTATGAGAATAAATTAGATTTAAACAACTCCAGTTGACGGAGGCGCCTGCTATGAATCCTATGGAGAGGTTTTGGATAACCGTAGAGAAACACTTTAAATTCGGTGGCAGAGACCACAAGGGAAGGTGTACTTACTCGGCAGGGTTACGCAGGATAAGGACTGCAGGCAGGCCAGGGTCTATCAACTTGTAGCGATCTGCCTGGTCGACTGGGAAATGAAGATAAACACTAGTGGCGTGAGTCTTCTGTATAATAGTCCTCTTGCTTCCAACCGAGTCCGTCTCACCCAAGAAACCTAAAGACAACAGTTTCATTAACAGACATGTGACAGCACTCTAACAAGTCTTATAGTGTGAAATGTTACGTGACAGATCATAGACAAGTCTATAAGGAGTCAGTTCATAATTATGGTGTTTCATCTAAAAGTCTTAAAGTGAGATGCTGTGTAATGTGTTATGGCTGAGGCTGATATTAATCTATTGTTCTGTTGTTTTGCTACTGTGATTGTGTGTGTATAACCTAGTGACTTACCATTTGATTTGGCCAGTCATCATATTTTCCCTGGAAAAATTCGTTAATGATCCCTCACTAGAGACTCTTTTCCCTGATCAGTTACGTAAAACAGACTGGATTAGCATTGCTAGCCATTCTGGAATTAACGTCCAAAAAGGTAAGCGTAAGTCAGCAATACAAAATGCTCTGCTTACAGAGCTGGTGTGGGAAGAAATTATTTCGGAGGACGTCCTTCAGTTTCATGTATTTGGTACTGGAACTAGTGTGGACACTGGACTAGTTTAGAATTACGTAAGCTGGAGATGCAACATGAGTTAAGGTACACGAGGAAAAGAGAGCACATTAGTTAGCCATGGAAGAGGAAAAGAGAAAAACCCTTGAGGTGCAAGGTAGAGTAGGAGTAGCAAGACAGTGTTCAGGACCGTGATCAATCAGTGTTTGACATCACTAAACATTTGCGACTAGTAACTGAGTTTGACGAGGATGACCCAGAAGAACTTTTCCAGCAGTTCGAGAAAGTAGCTAAAGCATTCAAGTGGCCTGAAACATCCTGGGTGACAATGATTCAGACTGTGTTTGAAGGCGCAGCTAGGTCAGTCTTTTTGTCTTTATCGGCTGAAAAATGTGAAAGTTATGAAGAGGTTAAAGACACTATTTTGAAGGTCTTAGAGTTGATTCCGGAACATTACTGAGTAAAATTTAGGAATGAAAGTAAACTAGAGTCAGTCATATATTGAATTTATGCACCGTCTTTGAAAGATGTTTGGAAGTTGGATAAAAAGCAGTGGGGTAGTAGGGTGTGTCATACGGAGGCGAATTTTTTTTTTTTTGAGTTTGAAAAATCGGCCCATGGTATTAATGATGTAGTTCTATGTGCAGAATCATGTGATATCTTCAGATTTGAAAAGTTTTCATTTTTTGCTAGGTAAATTTTAACTTGAAATCTTATGAAAATTCAGTATTCCCACCCTTTTACCACCACCACTAAATAGCTTATTTAAAGTAAAGTAAATGTATCAGGTTAATTTATTAGGATGAAAATGATCCAGAATAGTGAAACGAATGATCTTGACACATTTATTAAATGTAATATTCCTCTAGAAAACAAAATCATCAAATACAAAAACCGGTTTTACTACTACGACCCGGTGTTGCTGCACACCATAGAGAACATGTCTTTCTTGCTTCTGTTTCTACTCATCACCTCCCTCCTGACCACCTGAGCTCGGATGTAGCCTTCCCTCCTCTCCTGGCTGTACACGTGACTGCTGGCCTCGCTCACTTGCTGTACACAACGCTCTATACTCTGGGTGTGCGAGGGCCAGGCAGGGACATGCATGGGGCTGTCCAGGAAAGCTCTGACTTGAACATTGGTGAGGCTGCAGGTAAGAGGGAGCTCACTGCCAGCCTGGATGTTATCCAGATCTATGAGATCAGTGAGGGTCTTGGCACCTAGATTGACTTCAGGAGTCTTCCTGACCCTGAAGGAATCGTCACCAACTGATTCGTCATGCCCAGATCCTCTCATAAGTCTCATATCCAAGATCTTTTGACTGCCACTCTTCTCTCTTCCTCATCCTTACTGCAGAGCATTGTCTGCAGAACTGCCTCGGGATGAGCATACCAGGAAGATCTCCTCACAGTCTGCTCCACAATCTGAACAACCTCCTTGGCTGACCTCAGGAGCTCAAGCTGGAAGAGAACATGCCTCGGACCTTCGGAGAACGATGACTTGACCTTGGTGTTGAACCAATTTGGCAAGTAGACACTCACGATGAATTGGACAATAAGTCTCAGGTTGTGAAGCTGGTTCCCTTTCAGTTTATGATGAGCGACCCAAATTCTGCAGAACCTGAGAGCCGTTGTGAGCCACCTAGAATGTGAGACTGGACCTATCTGCAGGTAAGCAAGTCTATCAGGCATGACCCCAGTTTTGATGGCACTGCAAATCATGTAACCATAGTACTGGTCAGTACTCAGGTCGTCAATGACAGTATGTGCAAGCTCAACGAGTGGAGGGCCAACTGTGATTTTTTCAAAGCTCGGATTTATTTCTAACTCAGTGGCAGAGTCCAGCATCTTGCCAAGAGGACCAGACCATCTGTTGTTTGAAAGAGTCTTGCCATCCAGCTCCTGGATCAGATTTCTGAGTGGCAACTCGTTGGTGTGGAGGTCACAAACAATCCAGACCAGCTTCCTCCCAATCTTCCGCTCTATCCACTGTATGACCCCCCTTGCCACCCTGTGTTCGTGTTGGTGCTGTCCCCTCCAATGGCCTACAGGGTCTGGTCTACGTTCCTCTCTCTGAGCCAGTTCACAATGTTATCTGCCACTATCTCAGCTGGTTTCCTGATGTCATCTTTCTCTGGAGTGAAATGCCACACATACTTCCCTCCTGGTTCACTGCAGCAGGAGTAGTGTTCCTCCTTCACCATGGCAGGGAACAACTTGTCAGAATCTCCAACTTTCATGAACACTTTAGTGTCATCCTTCTCCCACATCAAGAACAAACAATTGATTCCATTTTTCTCTTATCCCTTATCAAACTCCTCTTCTAGGTTACTGACAAGGTTTCTCCTGAGCTCTCCTTACTTTTGTTATGATCTATCACCAGGTGAACATCATCAGGTGTTATCAAACCACCGTCAATCCAGGCAGCTGTTGCTATCTCTGCAGTTTCTCTGAGACCGGTGTGGTGTCGCATGCTGGCCAGAGCTATGCTCGGGATATCTTTCCTATTTCGAATCTTATGCCTGGAAGGTTTGGGATCATTATTTTCTGGGTTAGGGACAAAGTCACCATTCTCCTGGTCAGCACTCGGATCAGCCATGGGGAAGTCATTAAACTCTGAATCAGCTTGACTCCAATCATCGGCCTTTTTACCTCACCCTGGGCCTTCTCAAGTCTCTTTTCCTCGGCAACTCTTCTCCTCTTCTGTCTCTCTGTGGCAGCCTCCTGTCTCTTGGACTCCGGAATATCTTGGCTAGAAATCATAGAGGCCCTATACTGCCAGTCTCTCCTGTGCTTTGACAAATGCCAGTTCGATCACAGGAATCTTCGTTTTCACGCTTGCAAATACAGGAGATGTGGGCCTCGGATTTACAGTCACGATCGCATCCAAACTCAGGACAGAGAACAATTGGGCACTTGCAAGTAATTATGTCAAATAACTGGTCCAGTTGCTTGGCAAAGCTGTCCTTAACTGCAAGTTTTCCTCTCCCAAGAGAGATATCTCTTGCCTTTTCCCAACTGGCTAGCACTCTCTCACTAATCTTCTTCTGACTTGTTATGACTGGAGGCTTGAACTGAGCGTTAGCCAGAGTGTACTGTGCCAAGACAACTTTGGTCATATCACTGGCAATGTCTTTGTTTGTGTAAGTTCTTTGGTTCTTTTCACTGATTTGCCTGATTAAAACACCGTATCTCAAAGCATCTCTCAATGTAGGCAACTCCGACTTCAGGAGCTCTCTCCCAGACCCAAGATAGTGACTGAGATGGCTGGATTTTTTGATTCCTCGTCCTGACACAAGCAGCCATCGCAAATATTATCAACTTATAAATGCATCAGAATCTGAAACAGAAAAAATATTGTTAGTTGGGTTGTTAAAGAATGAAGTCAGAAAGCAATGTTCACTATTTAATTGTAATGCACTAATGCAGCTGTACGTTAGATTTTCGATAAATTTCACGCTAAAATTTACCTAGCAAAAGGTTGCAAAATATTGAAACTGAAATTATTTTCTGTTTATATACACTAAAATCTACCAAAAAAGTGATGGGCCATTAGTTTTAGCTGATCTTCCCTCCTATGATACACCCTAGTGGGGTAGAGCAATTTTAGAGAGCCCTTCCACGAGACATTCAGTTATATTTGGAAGAGAGAGAGAGAGGCTACAGACGTGCAACGAGCAGCAGCTCTGGCAGACAGTTATGCGTTGACTCATAAGAATGTTAGGTTTCAAAGTCATGTAACTAGGGACAAGGGTGGTAAGCAGGTTAAATGTCCGTAGTGGTTTGGAACAAAATTGTCTGAGGTTTGAGAGTACGAGTCAAATGATCTGTTTCTACTGTAAACAGATAGGTCACGTTATTGCAAATTGCCCTAAGCTCGAGAAGAAAAAGGAATACTCGTTCTTTCATTCGTGCAGCTTGAGAAGTTAGACCCTCAGTCAGTTAGTTCTTACTCAAAGGAAGATTTACTTGAGCCATTTATGTTTGATGGGACTGTCTCAACTGATGAGTCCAGTGATGTTCGGTACCCTGTTCGGATTTTGCGAGACACCGCTGCTAACCATAGTATTGTGGTGAAAGGTGCTTTACCCTGTGTGGAAAGTTCCTATACAGGTGAGCATGTGTTATTGAAGGGTGTCGGTGGTGTAGTCACTGTTCCTTTATGTAGGATGTTCTTGAGGAGCGACATGGTTTCTCAGTGGGTGACTGTTGGTGTCCAAGACTCTCTCCTTGTATCTGGTGTTACCTTCTTGCTAGCTAATGACATTGCCGGTACTCGTGTTGTCCCGGATCCTGTAGTGACCACGACTCCTACGGTGGACAATAATACTAAATTGTTTGAAGATCAGTATCCTGGTTTATTCCCTGCCTGTGTTGTTACCAGAAGTATGTCGCATAGAGAAGAGCAGAATACTCGTGTTGACCCTGTTTCTAATGTAGCTGACACAAGTGGTGCAGTTTGTGATGTAAATGACTTTGGTATTTGGAGCCTACAGTATGTGTGTTTCAATGCAATTCTGTTAATGACAGTGAGTTTTATTTGACGGAAGC